TGTGTGTGTGTGTGTGTGTGTGTATGTATGTGTTAGTTAGTGTGCATATAACTATTGCAGGCTTACTATGCTGGGAAACATGAGAAGGAGGAGGAGGCGAGGGAGGAGGAGGAGGAAGAGCCAAGCTTCACGGAGCAAGAAGAAGAGGAGGGGGAGACGTCCGACTATCAACCTTCCTCTCGAAGCAGCCACCGCCGCTCCCGACCCCCCGAGCATGACGTCATCGACACCGAGATGCACGTGACCAACAGCCAGCTCGGCAGTGGCTCCCTCACGCGGAAGAGTCAGAAGCTGGCGCCCCCTACGAAAGCTCGAGGCACAGGTGAGATGGCGCATTGCGCATGCGCGTAGTCGCCGACGTCAGAAAGTTGAAATAAAATATGATATATTAAATTGATAGTATCGAAACCAATAAACTTAGTAGTAGCTAAAACAGCTGAAATTTGCCGTCCTACATGAGAAATTATCTTATACATACACACACACGCACGCACACGCACGCACGCGCGCACGCACGCACGCACGCACGCACGCACGCACGCACGCACGCACGCACGCACGCACAAACACACACACATATATATATATATATATTCATACGTGCGTGTATGTTTGTTTGTGTGCGCGCGTGTGTGCGTGTCTGTGTGTGTGTGCGCGCGTGCGTGCGTGTTTGTTTGTGTATGTGCGCGTGTAATATACAACATTTCGTTTAGTTAAAATATAAATCATTTCCTCGTTTCCGCCGAACAGCCAAACAGCAGAGCATTCCATCTCCGCCCAGCCATCGCGACGCTAGCGTCAGCGCCAGCGCCACCGCCGCCGACGTCACGACAGATGGCGCTGCGGTCGCGTCGCTCATGGAGCGCTGCGACTCCTGGGAATTCCTCACCGACGAACTGCTTCTGCGCCGGGAAGACGACCGTCGGCCGACGACGGTGGCGCCACCCGGTGGCACGTTTGTGATACGGAAGAGTCGAGCGTCGGCGTCGCCGCTTGTCGGCCGTACGGCGGGAGAGCCAGCGGTCAAAGGTCCGGTCAGAGGTCAGGGCGGGGGTCAGGGCGGGGGTCAGGGTAAGGGTCAGCTCGTACAGGTGGTGACTAAGGTCAGCTTTGAGGATACGCACCTGTAGGGGGCGCGGCGGCGGCCGCATCAGGTCACGCATCCGGCGGTCGGTTAAGCGCAATGTGGTCATCGCCGTGCACGCGTGCGTGTGCGTGCGTGCGTGTGTGTGTGTGCGTGCGTGCGTTGCGACCGTGATGTCATCCAATCGCAACCGCGACGTCATCTACCCATCTTATTTATCTATCTACCTGTCTGACAGGAAGCTGAAGGCGAGCGGACAGCGTCTGGGCGCGTCCGCCGCTCTCTGCCACATCCGCGCCGCCGCGGCGGACGACGTCGACAGCTACGGCGACTACTCGCTAGGTGTCGCCAACGTCGGCTCGTGCGAGGTCGTGCTGTGCCGCCAGGGGGAGGCACTGCGGCTCTCGCGGCTGTTCACGGTCGCCGGCGACGAGCCGGAGTGCGAGCGCGTGCAGCGCAACGGCGGCATCATCACAGACGTAAGTGATGACGTCATCGTCGGTGCAGACGGGAAGCATTAATTTTTTATACCATAGTTTAGTTGTTTTACCATGCTTGTCTGTGTTTTTATATATATATAGTTTTTCTGTGTTATTTTATTTAGCTTATCTCTGTGTTCTTTTTTTATCTAGTTTATCTGTGTGTTTTTTGTTTATCTAGTTTGTCTGTGTGTTTTCTCCAATCAGGAAGCATCCCCATAGCAACTATAGGTAGCTTCCCCATAGCAACCATAGATAACATTCCTACAGCAAACATACGTAGCTTCTCTATAGCAACCATAAGCAGCATCCCCATAGCAACCGAACTTAGCATCCCCATAGCAACCATAAGTAGCATCCCCCATAGCAACCGCCCTGAGCAGCTTCCCTCTCCGCAGGACAACAAGGTGAACGGGAACACGGAGGCGACTCGGATGATCGGCTGCTCCTACCTCTACCCTGCCGTCATCCCCGACCCTCACGTTGCCATGGTGATGCTACGTCACGACGACGAGTTCTTGATCGTGGCGAATAGCGGCGTCTGGCAGTACGTGTCGTACGCGGAGGCTGTGCAGGCGGTGAGGGACGTGCACAACCCCGTGCTAGCGTCCAAGAAACTACAGGTATGTATCGGTGTGTGTGTGTGTGCGTGCGGGCGTGCGTGTGAGTGCGTGCGTGTGTGTGTGTGTGAGTGTGTGTGTGTATGTGTGTGTGTGTGTGTGCGGGCGTGCGTGTGAGTGCGTGCGTGTGTGTGTGTGTGAGTGTGTGTGTGTATGTGTGTGTGTGTGTGTG